CTCTAACATGCAAGTTGTCCGTTGAAAAAACTAACTAGGAAAATCAATTAAGCATAATTCAAGATCAATAAACTCAATGTTTTTAACATTAAAATAAGCATAATTATGCCCACCTAAATGATGTCCCAATAGAGCCATAAGTAAGGGCATGTTGATGTCCTGTTAGGGTTAGATGCAGTGCATTAATGGCACCCGTGAAGTTAGAGCGGGGGCATTTAGAGCCATATGCAGAGTTGACACCCTTAGGTTGGGTGATTGCCGGCCCAGTCCCCGCCTCCAATGGTCAGGAGAAGCGTGTCCTGTGTGTCCACGGTCGGAGGACGAAGGCGATGCTAATCGAGAGTTACGAAAGTTCTGGGATGTGGACAGTTTCGGTGTTCGGGCGAGATTAGTCACCTTACACGCTGGTGAGCAGAAAGCCTTGGACATTCTTGATCAATCATGCAAGCAGCAGGAGTTTGGTTATCAACTCGGACTTCTTTGGAAAACGAACAGACCTAGTTTACCTAATAATTATGACACTGCCCTGAAACGCCTAGAATCGGTTGAACGTCCCCTTTTGAAAGATCCGAAGTTAGCTGAGGAATATATAAAAGCGATAAATGCATATGTTGAAAAGGGATTTGCACGCAAGTTATCGGAAGAAGAGCGCGTAAAACATGGTGAACAGTGGTTCCTACCCCATCACCCTGTTCTCTCCCCACACAAACCCTTACCGAGAGTAGTATACGAGATGAACGTATGTGTACCCGATGTGTACGAGATGAACTGTCTGTTATTTGGAGATAAATCTTCACCCTGCGAGGCAAACTATGCTGTGATTCGCACCACCGAAGACAACAAGGAAGAATGGCCCGTCGCAGCCGCAGTGGTCAAGCGTGATATATTTGTTGATGATTTATATACGTCCTGTTATGATGATGATGAAGCAATAACATTGCGGAAGGATGTGACAAATTTGATGGCGAAGGGTGGATTCCCGACGCGCAAGTGGCTCTCGTCGTCACGAAAGGTCCTGGAAACGATACCCGAAGAAGAAAAGGCTGTCCCAAATAAGAACGTAAATAGTCGAGAACTTCCGTCAGGGCGTGCGTTGGGGGTGAAATGGGATGCAAAGTCCGACAATCTAGGCTTTGCATTAGCACACATTGATCGTCCGAAGGCGCAAAATACAAAGCGAGGTATTCTGAAAAGATTGGCTGCATTGTACGACCCGTTGGGCTGGGCTAGTCCTTACGTTGTCCGTGCCAAGATTCTTCTGCAACGCACCTGGTCTCGTGGCCTCCAGTGGGATGAACAACTTCCACCGGACTTAGCAATCGAATGGCAGAAGTGGGAGGAGGAGATGATTTGGCTTAAAGCTTTCTCGGTCCCGCGCTATATCTACCGTGAGCCTTCGAAAGTCTGGTCTAAGTTTCTCATAGTCTTTTGTGATGCTTCAGAAGTAGCCTACGCCGCTGCTGCCTTTATACGTGCAAAGTCAACCGATGGAGATTACGTGTGCCATTTGATTATGTCGAAGACTCGTTTAATGCTGCTTAAGACAGTCTCTATTCCGCGCGGAGAATTGATGGCTTGTCAACTTGCTGTCCGACTGGCGAAGTCTGTCTGTGAGCAACTGGGACTTGACAAGTGTCGTGTCAAGTATCTGTCTGATTCCACGACTGCGTTATGGTGGATCAAGGGTGAGCCAAGGAAATTTCGTCCATTTGTTGCCAATCGAGTGGCAGAGATCCTGTCGGAGAGTGATCCAATTCAGTGGCATCACGTTGGCACGAAGCTGAATATTGCAGATATTGCGAGCAGAGGAACGTCTGTAGCTGATATTTCCGCTGATTCAACCTGGATTCAGGGACCAGAGTTCTTAAAGTCTGAGTTCTCTGAGTGGCCTGTTGATAAAGTTGCAGTTGATTTTCCAGAGCCAAGTCAAGCGGAGTTGAAGAAATCGGTTTTGAAGGTAAAGGTCGCACCAGCGAAGCCAGTTATTGATCCTGCGGCGTATTCTAGCTGGATCAAACTCACCCGAATAACCGTATGGATATTTCGCATGTGTAACAATCTGCGCAACAAAAGAAACGAATATCGGGACCGTTGACTGTGGACGAACTCGATAATGCTAACTTGTACTGGATCAGATGGGGCCAGAGCGATCGCTTCCAAGACGAAATCGAAGCGTTGAGAAAGGGTCGTCCGGTTTCACGAGATAGTCGTATTGCAAGTCTCGATCCCCAACTCGTGGACGGTGTTTTACGGGTAGGCGGCAGAATCGAAAAGGCGGAAATTCCATGGGAGTCGAAGCATCCAGTTATATTGGACCACGGACATGATGTCACCCGGTTGATCGTGATCCACTACCACCGAAAACTTATCCACGCGGGAGTCGAACATGTCTTTAATCACGTACGTGAGAAATACTGGATTTTGCACGGTCGAGCCGAAGTTAAGAACTGTACAGTTAAGTGCCCACTATGTTTTCGCCGTCGTGTTAAACCTATGACGCAGAGAATGGCTAATTTACCGAAGGTACGTCTCGCAGGCGCAAGTGTTCCTTTTCGACACGTTGAGATTGATTATGCCGGACCGTTTGAGACTCGAATTGGACGCAATCGAAAGGAAAAACGCTATATTTTCTTATTTACTTGTCTCCATATGCGCGCGGTTCATCTCGACGTCGCACATAGTTTGGACACTGACTCGTGTATAATGACGTTGCGACGATTTCAAGCTCGTAGAGGAGTCCCTGTTTGTATAATGAGTGATAATGGGACAAATTTCGTAGGTGCCGAAAGAGAGTTGCTCGAGTCATTGGAAGATCTGGATCAAGAGAAAATCTCGAATGAGTTAACAGCACGTGGAGTACATTGGATCTTTAACCCGCCTGCTGCCCCATGGTTTGGAGGTGCCTGGGAAGCGTTAGTAAAGTCTGTCAAACGGGCATTGAAAGTTATGTTTGGGAATGTTCTCACAGTCGATGAAGTTTTCCTTACTGTCATTGCCGAAGTAGAAGCGATGCTGAACTCTCGTCCGCTTGTCTATGGTGGAAGCAGTGATTCACCAACAGATCTCAGCGTGATTATACCAAACCACTTCTTGCATGGCCGTGCGAGTTCGAACGTGTCGCGCGGCGAGTTTAACCAACGAGATATGTCGTTACGTCGAAGATGGCGTCATAGCCAATTCTTAGCGAACCAATTCTGGCGCCGATGGTCGAATGAGTACATTCCGCAGTTAATAAAGCGAAGCAAATGGAATGTTGCACACAGAAATCTACGTCGCGGTGATCTTGTCTTGATCGTTGAGAAGGACGTACCTCGTTCGCATTGGAGGCTCGGAAGAGTGATTGCACCGATCGCAAGTGAAGACGGACTGATCAGATCCGCGGAGATTGCAACGAAAACTGGAACATTGACACGTCCTGTAGGACGGTTAGCATTACTGAAAGCTTTTATTGATGAGTAACGTTCCCCCCGTTCACGTCACGGGCGGGGGTGTTTTGGACTTTGTCCAGTTTATTATATAGTTCATGTTAATTTATTATGGTAATAGACTTTTGTCCAGTAACATTGAAAATAGAGAGGTCAGAGGAGAGAACGAACACAAAACGTTTTAGAGAAACAGGTTTTTTTCTGTAAAATGTTGAGTTTTGTAGCGAAAAATATATGAAAACCTCATGGTTAATAAAAATTATACGCCGTCTATAACATGCATGTCTCAGAGATATAAACAGGTAATCAAGCATTATACCTTGTACAAATATAAAAGTCGGTTGACATGCTATCTACATGCATGTAAACTGCTGGTACCTGTAGCCTTAAGGCAGTATATACAGACAATAATCCCCACACTGTGTTGCTATAGGAATCTTATTAATATAAAGCCTATTACGTGCATAAGTAACAGTCCGCATTTGTTTTTAAAACGTGCTGAAAGCACCATTGCTATAAAATATAAACACCTAGAATAGGGGTCAGGGGGATCGAGTCGTGGTATCCTAAATACCTGATAAAATATAGATCAAAATACCTATTATTATGGTCAAAATGTTACAAAATACCTAAAATAACCAGAAGCTGTATACCTAAATACCAAAAATTAGTCATAACATTTAAGTAAATATACAGTATACTCGAATTTAATACCCATTAGATCCTGTATACCCAAAACCCATGGTCGGCCGACCCTATAGAATGAACACTATAAACTCATCGCGCCTTGGCACATCGCCACACAAACAAAATACAAAATAAACTAAAAGTACATTTTCGCTCCTTGTATATAAAATAAGACATTATACTGTAATCATGAATTCGTATGTTTTATATTCAATACCTCTGTAGACTGTATCGAATGCTAAACAGCAGATCTAAATATATTAATAGCATAGTTGCCCGGGTTTCTTTTGTTTCAACAGGGTCGATTACTAACTAATCGCCCGCTGTAGCGGGCGATTAGTTCTAATCGCCCGCTAGAGCGGGCGATTAGAACTAATCGCCCGTTACCAAGGGTCACACCTTTGTCTCCCTGACGACTACGCATTAGGCAAGTGCCTCACGCACATAATCGTGCAAGGAACAGCAACAGTTAGCTCAGAGCCGTCAATAGTCTATCATCCGATCCCTGAGTTGCCGCATCATTTAAATTACGCACGTGCAGTCTCCAATTTTATACTAATATATTTAGCGTTTTTGTTGTGGTACGTTAAATGATAGATTGCGCATGCGTAACCGCTTAAAGCGTAAAAAGTGCGCATGTGCAACAAGCTTTTACATCCCACAAGCAATGAAGCAAATGTTTTAGCTTAAATACGCTGATTCCAAGTAGGGCATGTTTGTCCATTTTTAAATGGGAGCGAAACTATGCTATTACAAACTAATAGCATGGCTTTTCGGAGATTAGTGATTAAATGACCCCTTACCCTCGGCAGGTTTGCGGAATTCCCTCGGGCTTCGCCCTCGGGAATTCCGCAAACCTGCCTCGGGTTACGGGGCCATTTAATCACTAATCTCCCTCAAGCCATGCTATTACTTATAATAAATGTCTTCATGTATATCACCGAAAGAAATAAAGTCATTCGATCTTACCTGATTTATTGTTTGATATTGTCGAATGTCAATCGTTTGCAAATATCCAACCTATAAACTTGTAGCGTTCTGCTTGCACAATACAAAATAAAGTTTAAAAAAACTCGTTTAATTTAAAAAAACTTCCTGACGCTTAATTATTCCTCCCGGCAAAATGGACAGACAGACACAAATCGAGATCTCGACAATACATACAGGGTGTATCAAAAAAAGCGCAACCTCGGAATTTCCCAAGAAATCGACATTGTTTTAAAGACAAAAGATTTTAGGCGCCTGGGGATTTAAAATAGCACAACTGTCAAAATTACTGCACACGCGAGTGCATAAAGCAAAATTTATGCATTTATTTAATGCACAACAACAGTAATATGATCTATTAGCAATTCGATTTCAATTCCCAGGGGCCTAAAATCTTTTATGCTTAAGAATTGCAAAGTGATTTCTTAGGAAATTCCGAGGTTGCGTTTTTTTTATACACCCTGTAGATCGCGCGAAAGACTGGGTCGAGTGAACTCTGGAGAAACCAACGCGTGTCAAGAATAGTGTGCTGCCTCGCTGCGCTCGGCAGCAATTAACTTTGTTCTGGCATGCGTACAGTTTGCGCTTGCGATTTCGAAATAGTCGCAAATGTTCTAATAAAAGTATCTATCATTTATTGTCGTAGTGGTCTGTATGTATTTCCGTGCTAGGTATAAGTGATTATAGGTGTCTCTTTTAATTATTAAAAGCAGTAAGAACTCGAAAAGCAAATATTAAAATATAACATCCGTTTATATAAAAGAGCATAACATCCGTTTGCCATGACTGCGTTTTATCCAAGCCGCGTTTCCAGGCATCAGCGATGGAAATGATTGCGCTTTGTAAATGGGCGAACACATGAAGATTAGCCATCCATTATATAGCGTCAGCCGTTTGGGAACCTGAGAGTGCTTTGCAAATTCATGATATTATATAATAAGTTATACTCGTGCTTTATTCTTGCCGAAAACGTATTGCGCAGGAAAACATATACAGTTTCAATAGGTAAGGTTTTTAAATTTTAACAAGACGCTCTGCCGCGGAGCGTTAACTCGCTGGGGCTATACAATTCATACAAATACGCACATTACTAAGCGGAAAAGTTGAATATCAGCGGATAAGGCTTAACACAGTACTAAATTGCGGTAGGCCCTACAAGTAAAGTTATATTGAGTACGCTACATAGCCGCCACTAGTTGGTCCGTACGCTAGGCTGCTCACTGCGCTTTAAAACGTTCAAAATAAACTAATTTGGGGGCTTTTGGGCTCAAAATACAATCAAAATGAAGAGAGAAGTAAGACGGATCCACTGGTATACGGCCGAAAAAGAGAAAACCAATGATACCAAAATTATCAACAATACAATTTCGCTTGGCTTTCAAAGACAAAGCCATAAATCGCTAGATTACTGTTGTTTAGCAATACATTTGACATCCGTATGAGCGATATGTTAACAATACAATTTCGCTTGTCTTTCAAAGACAAAGACCATAAATCGCTAGAATACTATTGTTTAGTACAATTTCTTACCCTGAATCGAACGGTGATATTTTTATCGTTATTGCGCCATGAGGCATTTATTACAAATACAAGGACAAAGTTAGTGTGAGTGACTTGTCAACATTTATACAATTTGACCAATTTCGCTTGATTTTCAAAGGCCATAAATCGCTAGAATACTGCTGTTTAGTAATACATTTGACATCCGTGAGTACAATTTCTTACGCTGAATCGAACGTTGTCGCTTTCTTCTCAAAATATATTAAAGCAGCGCAGCCAAACGTATAAACTTGCGATTTGCGAAGGTTGCTGTTTTCGTGCGAAATTCCTTGTAAAATTGTTCAATTTTCCCAAATTTTCCTCAAAATGCAGGATTATTTATGGATAATTTGGGTAAAATTGGCAGGAGTCTTATGGATAATTGGGGGGAAAATTAGGCAGCTCATTAATATTCTATTTTGTGGCTATCGACGATTGGAGATCCACTATCCACTATCCGAGATCCGTGACAAATGCATGCCGAAACCTATACTCGTCTGGGGCACAGAGTGCCCCAGCGAGTAATAATATAATCAATGTAATTAATGTGTACCTTATATAATACGCCCATGCATGTGCTGACCATTGTCAATATGAGCACTACATGTTGTCCTAATCAGAAAATCCATACAGTGGCTACGATTCTCTTCCTTCTTAAAATAGTGAAAAACTGTATTAAGTGCAATGTTTTCGAAACGTTCTGGAAGGATTTTGTCAAGTTACCCTTTCGTAATTCATTGCTGCCGAGCGCAGCGTAGCAGCACACTATTCTTGACGTGCTATTTGCAAACGATCGACATTCCACAATATTTTGAATAAAAAGAATGGATTTCTTTCTTTCTGGTATATAATACATGAAGGCATTTATATATTTTGGATCTGCCGTTTACCGTTCGATATAGAAGTAATTTTAGTTTATTAGCTTATGTGGCGATGTGTTTACAAGGTGGGTAGTAGCGAAGTAGTTGTAGTTCGCTACTGTACAAAAATATTGCTTTGTGTTTACCGTTTTGCTATACTCGTGCGTCGATTTGTTATAGGTTAGATTACACTATTACAGCCTGAGTTAGTAGATGCTCCACTGAATATAATAAAACTAAAAAATATAGCATAGCGTAATAGCGAAATAATTCGCTACATTTTTTAAGCAGTATAGCTGTAGCCAGTAGCGAACTATACCTTTGTTCAGAGGTAGCAGTAGCTGTAGCTGACTACATATTTTTGAACTAGCCTTAGTTATAGCGAACTACAAAAATTTTGTGGTCAACCCACCCTTGTGTGTTTATAGTGTTCATTCAAGATGTTTTTTAGCAATGTGCCTTCATATGTCGTTAATCAGGCGATAATGTAGTTTTTGCAGAATCGTGCACAGTAATCTGTTTCAATATATCAAAATAATCCCGCCTCACATCTCGTCCTGGCAAAGCGGGTTCATATTCAAATTGTGTCTGCTGTCTTTGATCTTTGGGGGTCAGGAGTGAGACAGCACTTTCCTTGCGATAGTAACTCCTAGCATAAAGAATATAGGCACCTTGTTTGGATCTAAATTGAATTTCAGCAGCACAAATGTTTTCTAATTAAGCGACTTTTTGTGTCCCGGCGGAATACGAAAAAAAACAAGAAAGAATAATAATAAAGTGAATGCATGATTCAGTCGACGAGACATTGATCACTGATGTTTTCCAGTTCAGTGCATATAAATGTTCTATGTTCTTGCATAAAGACGATAAATATACTTTAGTTTTGTCAGTACTAGTTTAATTCGAAAATTCCCCTTCCTTCCTTAATAATTTTTGTACAACTATATTTTACCAGCAAAATAAAGTAAAGTATACGCCTAATGGATATAATATTATTTTCTAATTTAAAGCGAAACAACCGTGCGGAAACTAATAGCTAATTGTTCTTTGAGCAACTTTTTGCATATTCGAATGGATGATTGAACAGT